CGGAAGAGACAGCAAAGGCAGGTGTGACCCAACCTGGGGACAGAGGCACGGCCACTGGAGAAACAGCAGATGTGGAAGGCCGCGCAGCTGCTCTGACCTTTGCCGTTTAGAAAATCTGTTCTTGCTTCTAGAAACTGAAGTCTTAGGATCCACAGAGAGCCTATAGGGTGGTCACAGGAAGATGCGCTTGATAATGTCATTGGACGCAAAGCTGATTAGTCCTTTTGTCGGGCAAAAGGATCAAGTCAACCGTGAGGGCAGAATGGCCCATGGCCACGTCTGGGCCATGTCTGGGCCAGACAGTAGGGTGACGCCTGCGAAGCTGGGAGGGGAGGCCCGAGAATTTTATATCCAGCCAAACTGTCGCTCAGGTATGAGAACAGACGAGCATTTGTGAACATGTAAGAACCCAGGGGATGCGTCCCATCAGCTCTTCCTGGAGAACTAGGAGATTAAGTCCAGTCTCTTAGGAGAAAACGGGAACGGCAGCAAGTGGCCTGGCAGAGAGTAGGGAACGTAGTCCCCTGCAGGATTAGGCCTGAGACAATACAGGGATCAAGGCTACAGAACCGGTTGTGTAACTAACAGAAATACAGGACGGCAGCAAAAGAGACGGGTGTGAAGTTCACTGATCTGCTCATCTTTGTCATCTGGGTCGAAGATACAACAGTCAGCCTCATTCTACGGAGATTATCTGACACCCACTGAGGTGCTGACAGAACAACCTCACTTCCTCTCCCCACCCAGGTGTAATCGTTTCCTAGTATTTGCTCTTGTATTTCTCTGAAAAGGAATAAAAATATACTCAACAGACTTTTGACTGGATTCCAAAGTTAAAGCCAAATGTGTGCTGTGAACGTGAGAGACACCAAAAGAATGACTGGCCAAGAAACCCCGGGAGCCAGCAGACAAGAGAGTTGGGGCCCACCCTGGGGACCAGGGAGCACTCGGACAGACTGTGCCCACACTTGTCAACGACAGAGTGTGTACAGTTCACAACGAGAAGCCACAAATGTCTGCTCAGCAGACAAACAGACACCCTTCATGAAGCTGGGACTACAGGAGGTGGCTGTGATGGGCAGCTGGTGCCAGACCACTCCGCGTGCTGCCAACATCCACCAACTGGACAAAAGACACCGCGTGACTGCGTCCAGGCACCAACACCGGTGGGAAGGGCAGCTGACAGGGGAGCCTCCCAGAGGCCCAGCAGCTCTCTGCTGGCGGAATGTCTGGCCGCAAAGTCCAGGCAGAGCACAGCGGCCACATGAAGCCAAGGAGGTGATCAGAGGGTGGGGCCGCTGGAACCCGTGGGGTGAGGCAGCAGCATGGAGGGGGCTGGGGGAGGGACTGCAGGCCATGTGGGTCCCACGAGTCCTTGTGAGGGCTGGGCTGTGCCCACTCAGGGCACCACACAAGGTTAGCCGGCCAGTGGCTGCTGCAGGGTTAAAGGGAACGAATACAAGAGATCAACAGTGATCTTGGACCCAGCAGCCGAGGGTGACATCTGTGTGTCCACACAAGACCAGATGAGACCCTGCGTGGCCGCGCTGCAGGGTAGGCATCACGCCCTGGTTGGGCCTACTCTGGCCAACCATGATGAAGCTGGAAACCAAGCCCCACAAGTGCGAAGGGGAGGTATAGTTTGGAAGGTGAGTCCCACGCATTACAGGAGCCGGGGATGACCCTGGGCCCCACATACTGCCTGACGGAGTGGAAGCCAAGCCCATGGTGCAGGTGAACAGCCACAGGGATGAGAGTGATTGCTCTGCAAAGTAAGAGACTCCAGTCTCCATCTCCATCAGTACAATGTCTGGCACAGACAAAAATTACTAGACACCCAAAGGAGTAGGGAAAAAAGCAGTTAATGGAAACCAGCCCAGAATGGCACAGGTGTGGAACATATCAGACAAAGACTTTAAAGCAATATTTAAATATGTTCCAAAAAATGAAAGAAAATGCAAATAATTACCAAAAAATTGTCTTGATGAGTGAACAGGTAGGATCTATTAGCAGAGAAATGGAAATTCAGAACCAACTCAGAACAGCCAACACTCTGTGAAGGTGAAGAGCAAAGCGGGAGGACCAACTTCACAACTTGCTGTGAAGCTACAGGAATCAAGACCATGGATGTTGGTGGAAGAACAGACAAACGGATCAGTGGAACAGGAAAAAGAGCCCAGAAATGGACCCCCATAAACACATGACCTTTGACACAGGAGTAAAGTAGCCTTTTCAACAAACGGTGCTGGAACAACTGGACGTCCACATGAGAAGAAACGAATCCAAACACAGACCTGCCACCTTCACAAAAATCAACTCAAAATAGACCAAAGATCTAAATGTAATTGCAAAACTATAAAACTCCTAGATGACGACAGGAGAAAACCTAGGTGACCTTGTATTTAGATACAATACCAGAGCACAATCCATAAAGGAAACAATTGATAACCTGACTTCACTAAAATTAGAAACTTCTGCTCTGTAAAGACACTGTTGAAAGAATGAGAAAACAAGCCAAAGACTAAGAGAAAGTATCTGCAAAGACGCATCTGATAAAGGGCTGTTACCCAAAATACACAAGAACTCTTAAGAAAATGAGCAACCCAATTTAAAAATGGGCAAAAAGCCTGAACAGACACCTCAGCACAGAAGATACACAGATGGCAACTAAGCATGTGAAAAGATGCTCCACATCGTATGTCACTAGAGAAATGCAAATGAGAACAACCAGATACCACTGCACATCTGGACATATGTCATTATACATTCGTCCAAACCCATAGGATGTACATCACCAGAAGTGACCCCTGATGTGAACCAAGGGCTCTGGGTGATGATGAGGTGTCAGTGTAATTCCATCGATTGTAACAAATGTCCCACTTGTTGGGGGGGTGATGTCGATAGAGGGGGCGCTGGGGGTATATGGGAAATCTCTGTACCTTCCTCTCAATTTTGCTGTGAACCTAAAACTGCTCTAAAAATAGAGTCTTTTGTTAAAAAAAAAAAAGCACAGTAATAGAAAACGTAGAACTGAAAAACTAATAACTGACGTGAAAAATGTGTAGGACAGGCTTAACAGCAGATTGGAAATTATTATTATTATTATTATTTTTTGTGGTACGTGGGCCTCTCACTGTTGTGGCCTCTCCCATTTTGGAGCACAGGCTCCGGACGCGCAGACTCAGCGGCCATGGCTCACGGGCCCAGCCACTCCGTGGCACGTGGTATCTTCCTGGACCGGGGCATGAACCCGTGTCTCCTGCATCGGCAGGTGGACTCTCAACCACTGCGCCACCAGGGAAGCTGGAAATTATTATTTTTTAAAAGTCTGTAAACTAGGGGACATTATCAATGGACATTATCTGACCTGAAGAAGAGAGAAAACTGACCAGAGCCTCGAGGGCCATGGGACAATGTCACTCAGGGAGGCCAGACCCCTGAAAACCACAGATAAAAAGAACGTCTTGGGAGTGGCCGAGGAGAAGCCCCACGAGGTGACCAGGAGTGAGGACCAGATGCCACGAGTCCCCAGCAGACGGGGGTCACAGGAGACCATATGTCTTCAAAGCACACAAAGGAAGCAAACCAAGTGCGCCAGAGAAAAGGCAGAGGTTGTCGCAAAGCGTGAAAAAGCAGAGCCCCACTAGAGGGCCCGACAAGACGGCCAGGCAGCGCACATGGGACAAAACAGAACCCGTGCAATGAGGTCGTGTGCGCGGCTGGCCCACGAGGGGGACGCCCGTGTGTGAAGGGAGGCTGGAGGTGAAAGATGGAAAAAAGTTACAGAAGGAAGTAGCAGCCAGAAGACACCTGGCCTGAGCCATGTGAATCGCTGCTGAAACGGGCTTTCAGGCAAAAATCCTTCCCAGAGATAACAAGAGTTC